CATCTAAGACTAGGATTAGATAAAACAAACATGGTACTAAATTTAGTCCAAGCCAGTCCAAGCCAATTCTGTATACCAAACGAAGTGTAAATGATTTTGCATAAAAGTGATTATTGGCCTATCCAGAATCACTCCCAAATAACCCATTAATCACTATTTTCTTTATGATTTGCATTTTCAATGGACTTGAATTTGTTTATACTGTGTTGGAAATATGAAGTCAACATTGAAGTGTAAATGTAATCTAGCTTATGCACTTATTTTATTTCTTGAGTTTTAATTTAAAGAATCCAATGGAAAGTCAAGAGCAAACATAACGAGCATATAATCGCTTTTTAAAGTATCATCTTTTTCAAATTACTCTAAATTAATCTAATCACCGAAAAGAGAGACCTGAATTACGTTAACAAGCCCAACAATAGCGTCAAGGTAACATAATTAAGCCTAGAAAGAACAATGGATAAAGCCTAGGAAGAACAATGGACCCCCGCAGTTCATCATATTACTCTTTTGTTTGGTTATACCACTCATTTGCTCGTATGAATCAAGTAGGGAGGGCCAAAGGTGCAATCTTGAATCATACGCTTACAAAATTTTAACTAAAAAGAACAAAATAAATAAAAAAGCATCTAGGCTTAAAACTGAGAATGCCAATAATGGCCATGTGAAAAAAAGCCTCTTTTAGCTTCACGACAAACACTCTTCTTTAGTGTTCACGGCCCCACTTAGTATTTCCCCTTTCACTTTTTCATAACAAGAATGATCATATAAAACAAGCAACCCCCAGCTTAAATCTCTGGCTTTTCCCTATTATTGAGATGGGAGGTTGTTTGTTGCCCGTATCTGTACAAAATCCCTGTCATTTGATATATATATATATTACAAGTGATATTGGGAAAGGGTTTTTTTTTATATAAGTGATTATATTTTTTTATCACGCCATGAAGATTCGAATATGAAATTACTAATCCGCAAGAAAATGCACTTTTTTATTGGATTAGACCCGTTGGCATCCTGCAATTTCATTAGTTGAGTTTCACATATCAAAGTTTATTTCTAATCACAAAATATTTTCAGCATGCTAATGTAATGGTTTCAAGGTTTTGGTAAATTCGGGTCACATGTTGATGAATTGGGACCATACTTTTTTGAACTTCGTATTTGGGCTGCAAAAAAGTCCCCCCAATAATAGTCCTTTTTGTTGGACAACTCAGAGATTGAGCCCAAAGACCTTATAAATAGAAACTTATAGCATATGGTATGTTGTAATTGGACAAAACATGTTACTCATTGTGTCACGTGACAAGTTAATCTCTATTGAAGTAGTAAACTAGTAGTGCATGCGTTAGACGTAGTAGGAGTGGACATCAAATCCGAATTTTCATTATCACATTAAATCTTAATCCTTCTACTACATGTGTCACGCATGTTAATTAGGAGTGGATATGAGTTGGGTTGGTCCCAATTCGTAACCCAATTCATATATAGCGGTTTATGATTTTTTGGATTCAAAATTCGCTCATTATTATTAGGCTAACTCAACCCTTTTGTGATCGGGTTGGGTGGTTCGGTCGAATTAACTCAAAATTAAGTCCAATTTTAAGTTTTGGTTCCAACCCGTACATAGCGGTTTATAATTTTTTAGATCCAATACTAGCTTATTATTAGGCCAACTCAACTCAACCCATTCATCTAATAATTGAGTTGGGCGGTTCGATCGGATTGACTAGAAATTGTGCCCACCCCTAATGCCAATTGGCCTTTTATTTATTGAGAAATTCTAACGTAACCCAATTCATATATAGCGGTTTATGATTTTTTGGATTCAAAATTCGCTCATTATTATTAGGCTAACTCAACCCTTTTGTGATCGGGTTGGGTGGTTCGGTCGAATTAACTCAAAATTAAGTCCAATTTTAAGTTTTGGTTCCAACCCGTACATAGCGGTTTATAATTTCTTAGATCCAATACTAGCTTATTATTAGGCCAACTCAACTCAACCCATTCATCTAATAATTGAGTTGGGCGGTTCGATCGGATTGACCAGAAATTGTGCCCACCCCTTATGCCAATTGGCCTTTTATTTATTGAGAAATTCTATCTCCAAACAACTTCCATGGAAAATGAAGAAGAAGAAAAAGTACATAGAATCTCCAAATCGTTACAATTAATGGTGTGAATAATTCTTCTTGCTACCTAAATCTAAATGGCATACTCGTTCAATATTTACAGCAACATTTTTTTTAAAACTTCGGGTAAGGTGATTCAATGATTTCTTATACCCGTCAACGTTTTGGTCATGTAAAGGTAGATGATGAAATTGGATGCAGTGATTTCTGTTGTGCCTCAACCTCAAATTTAAACAAGCATTCTCTTCTTCTAATTCTTTGATCCTTTTTAAATTGCAAGCCATGCTCTTCTCAAGAGAAGCAAGACGACAATGCAGCCGGTCTATCACAAAGGCAAGCAATAGGGACAACACAATGAGATTGGTTTCAAGACTCAAATGGCCCATCATCCCACGCTTCTGAATCATCACGAGAAAGATGATATTCCCCACGACTATCAGCATAGAGGTCCCATAGCAGCTGCGGTTGATCTCATCGAGGCTCGATATCTTCGTCTTTTTTAAAGGCGTCTCGAGCAAAATTAAGAGTACGAGAATCATGTCAAT